AAGGAGACTTTAACTTTTACCAAAGTAATTTTTTGTAAGATGCTTTAAGACTTTTACTCAAGTAATATTCCTAAAGGAGACTTTAACTTTTACCAAAGTAATTTTTTGTAAGATGCTTTAAGACTTTTACTCAAGTAATATTCCTAAAGGAGACTTTAACTTTTACCAAAGTAATTTTTTGTAAGATGCTTTAAGACTTTTACTCAAGTAATATTCCTAAAGGAGACTTTAACTTTTACCAAAGTAATTTTTTGTAAGATGCTTTAAGACTTTTACTCAAGTAATATTCCTAAAGGAGACTTTAACTTTTACCAAAGTAATTTTTTGTAAGATGCTTGTACTTTTACTCAAGTATCATTTTGTGGTACTTTATACAACACTGGAAGAACAACCGTAACGATGGTGGATAGCTTAAGTGCTGTTTGTACTGCTCACCCTTTAGAAGCAACCCAATCTCATCCTCAGTTCAAACAAACATTTATGTATTTACCATTTTGGTTGCAACTATTTTCATGCGTCCCATTTGAAGCCCAGCATCAGTGTTGCCAGATGTAAAATAACTGTTTTTTCCCCTTCTTTTCTGTGCACATCTCATCAATCACAACACAAACATCATCTTACAACCTCCTTCCTCCAAGGAAGCAAACCCTAACTCAGCACAATTATTTAAGTCAAAATAGTAAAAGGCAGGAGTAAAAAAGACAATAGTTTGTAATTACCTTATCTGGCAACCCTCAGCTACAATCAACACTGATGTTTCAACAGACTGTTCCTGTCTGAACTGAGCCTCAACCTTATTGTTACTCTGTCTCATTGTAGTTGTTGGGTTTCTTTTCAGTGCATTCTCATTACCTGTATGGACACATGCTTGCGGCCTTTTGAGAGTGATATGCCAAATCTGGAGAGGAAGACCTGGGTACGCCAGCGGGGAGGTGGAAGGGAGGAGGCCTCTCTCTCCTCTGCTGCCCAGCCTCACTGTCCCTTTCATCTCTCTCCATTCCTTCGGACACGTGCAATACAGAGGGCAACTCTGARCTTTGAACTCTGAGAGTGCTCAGTAATTGGCTGCACTCGCTGCTGTAAAGGAGGCTCATCACAGATCTTGCCCCCTGTTTTTTTGTTTGTTTGTTTTTACCCCAGTGCTCCCAGTAGCCTTGTCTGTTGTGGTGTTGTGTTCCTGCTCTCCTTGTCTCAGCTGTGGGTTCTTGTCCTGGTTCTAAGAGACTCAGCGTGGAAAAGGCCAATCAGATCTTCCTGTGTTAGCAGAAGAGTGTGAAACGTGAAAAGATTTAAGAAGATGATGACGAGTTGTTAACTTGGGACCTGAAAATGCAGAAAACTTGTATAAATGGCAGATTCTTCTGCACATTACCATTCTACCGGTTATGCAAGGTATTCCTCATCTATCGTCTTTGTACATAAAATGAATAACTTATGTTTTTTATAGAAATATTATATATATGATATATATATATATATATATATATATTTGATGGTACAGTACCTTTGATGACACCCAAGGGAACTTTACAAAGATAAGAACAACACAAAAGAGAATCACGACACTAAAGCACAGAATAAGTAAGAAAAAAAAAACAGGTAGAAGTAGCCTAACCTGAGCAGGTGAGTTTTGACTCATAATTTAAAGCAGGACTATTCAACAGGTGGCCCATGGGCCACATCCGGCCTGCGAGTGACCAAAGTTCGGCCTGCCAATTGGTTCATTCATCTCTTAAGTCCAAATCCCCTGTTTTCTACTTTACTTACTGTGAGTTATTTTAGTTGAACATAGACATGTTTGATATCTACAGAAATGTCAGAATCCTGGCTAGAAGCTGGTAAAAACATTTCTATGAATATCTAAGACAGTTAAAACTACAAGCAATTGAAGATAAAACTATGAAAGTCAAAATAAAATTGGTTTAAAAAGTTGGCAAGTCAGAGCTTTCAAAATATTATTTGTGTTTAATAGGAGGCAGAATGTGTTTTTGATTTTGTTTTACTATCACTACATTTATTTCTTAGGGTTTTTTATGTTATATCCATGATTAAATGCAGCAAAATAAACTATTTCAAATCTTTGTAATACTTACTTTATTTACATGACTTTAATTGCTGGATGTTTGGCCCCTGTGCTGTTGGTCTGCATTAACTGTGGCCCTAGGAGCAATTTACTGTAGTTGAARAGCCCTGATTTAAAGGTGTACTAGAGTCAATAATGTGGATGTCTGGAGGAAAAGAGCTCCAGATATGGGAAGCTTGGTTTCCCAGTGTGCTGAGGTGGACAGAAAGCATGGTTAGATGGAAGGAAAAGAAAGAATGAAGAGAGCAGAAGGGGAAGACGATGTGCAGGGGATCAGATAGAAATACAGTTCCTTCTAAAAATTAGCATATTGTGATAAAGTTCATTATTTTCTGTAACGTACTGATAAACATTAAACTTACATATATTTCAGATTCATTGCACACCAACTGAGGTAGTTCAAGCCTTTTATTGTTTTAATATTGATGATTTTGGCAAAAAAGTAAAGAAAAACCAAAAACCCCATCTCAAACAATTAGCATATCATGCAAAGGTTCTCTAAACGACTTATGCCCCTTTTCCACTAGTGCCATTTTGTGTAGTGTCGGAATGGTTCGGTACGGTTCCAAGCCATTTCCATTAGGCCAGATCCAAGGAACCGGCACTTTTTTTAGTACCTACTTCATTGTGGTTCCAACCGGCCCCAGCTGACANTATATATGGAAAATACTATAATATTGCTGTACTGAACCCAATGCCCTGTATTCGATAGTGACTGTTCTCTTTCTTTCTCTTTCTCTCTGTGTTGGACCTTTGCGTGACTTTTTGCTGTGCGCCGTGTGTAACTTAGTGGTGGACAAGAAATGCTAAAGGAAGTGTGTGCTTCTACAAGGACTCTTCACAGGTTTATGGGTCCAAAATCTCTCTTCGCCTCTTCTTCTCCTGTTCCCTGCTCCTCCTCTAAAATCTTTTGACACGATGTAGCTGTTACTTCTCTTCCTCTTTCCGCCTCTATCGCCTTCTGTATGACACTATGTAGCCTAGAGAGAGAGAGAGCGATTTAGTACGAGTGTGAGTGTGTGTGAGTGAAAAAAAAAAAACTACCTTCTGGAGACTTGTAGAGGGGTTGTGTGTGAACGGACGACTCTGGCCATGTGACCATGACTTTGTGTGTGTGTTTGGGTGTGTGTGGGTGTGGACGGTAGTTTGAACACTGTAGCTCATTCATGTTGAGTTTAAACTTTTCGATTCTAACGGTAAATTGCTGCTCATTGTCAGCCAACGACATGCACACACGATACTGCTCTTATCGACAGACCGCTCTGTCACTTCCCATTTAGTTTCCATGGAGAGTGGCCAGCGAGCGAGTACATGCTCTTGGCTGACAAAACTCCTCATTCAACACAGCATATGAACCCGTGAACTTCTGGATGGCTGTACAATCTTGTTTTTTTTATTTATTTATTTATTTTCTAATTTTTTTCCAAGGTGTCTAAAAGGTGTAACGTGCTATGTGGCAGCTATGAGTACTGTGTCTTTATTCCAGGTGTGAAACAATGCTGACAAATCAAGATTTTATTATTTGGCTATCCAAAAAATTAAAAAAATGAAAGAATAGAAAGAAAAAGAAAAATGTACTGTATTTATGACACTATGTAGACATAAATAAAGCTGGTTTTTAAAGATTTTTGTGTTTTTTTAAGTGGTACTCCTTTACAAGATGGGTATATGTATAAAAGTTTTATTAATGCTTTAGAAATACATTATTTATGACAATGTAAACATGTTTATAGGCATTATAGAGCATTGTTCATAATGAAGCAGACTCACTATGTTGCAAAACATTTATATTATGGATTGTGAATTTAAATTGTTTATTAAATTTCTTTATTACTTATTTATTAGTTGTTTAAAAGGACACCCTTATTCTAAAGTTTTTTTATTGTTTTCGGCTCCAGACGTCATCAAAGAGTACTYAAAATGGTCTTTATTTGCAAGAATAAAAGAGAAAATATCATCTCCAAATACACAACAATCTGAGTTATAAAAGTCACAAAAATAAGTTAGCAAAGAATAAAAAATAAAATGGCAAAAGCACTCTGTAGAATAAAAAAAGGGAACGTATTTACAACACTGGCACTCAGAACGTGTTTAAATTAAGCAGATCTTGGTCAAAACTGCCGTGGTACATATTGGCCCCACAAATAAACTCATGTTTATAATCATAAAAACTCACACACAGAAAGAATGAAAGATGAGGGGAGTGTTTTTTTTTTGGGGGGGGGTGGTGGATTAAAAGGAAACATTAAATTAAGTTAGAACCAGGGTTTGTCATTTGTCTGTGGTTCTACTGTTTGAGATTAAGAGAGTCATTGCAGTATAGATGGGTTCATGCAMCAAAGTCTATGAATCTAGACTAAGAGTCTCTGATAGAGAGGTCTGGGTTGGATAAGGCAAATAAAAAAGGGAATAAGGCCTCAATGTGGAAGAAGGAATTCAGACCCCTATCAGTAGAGTTACATTTCTAATCAACCACAAATATTTGGCATAAGACAAAAACACTGAAATCAGTAGATGCTTAAAGAAAAACTAAGCTACCCTTATGGACTTGTTGTCAGCCTCCATTACAAACAGTCAGTTTGTCTTTTTGCTTGTAGCTTTCTTTGCACCTACATGGATGGTTCCACTGTTCCGAGGGTTTATTTGGGAATGTCTACGGGAAAGGCCACAGGTCCGTCAGCTGCAGAGATGCTGTCCACTATGGAGGTCAAGGCACGCATGTTGCCCTGCTCAGGAGACTCGGCAGCACTCAGGAGATCTGCAGAGAGAGAAAGAGAGGCTCACACAGTCAGTACCCGTCAGGCAGATCTAACCCACCGTCTGTTGAGGAAGAAGAGGACTCACCCTCGCTGCTGTAGCTCTGTGGGCACTGCTCGGGAGTGCTGCTCCACTCCGGGCTGCTGCAGCAGGTGCTGCTCGAACTGGGCTCGCTCGAGGATGACACCTGTTACCATAGAGACACACATACAGAAGTTGCTGTCACTCACTGTTATAGCACGACACAAATCCCCAAAACGTTACGCTGCACAGCACATCTCATAAATCTCATTAGAGATAAACTGTCAAAAAAGACACTTTTAAAATGTTTCATTTTTGTTTCTATTAGTAACACACAGTAATTTACACATAGGCTATATGCATATTTGTTTACCAATCTAAAATATGAAAATACATCATAATAAAGAAGCTTTTACCTTGAGGTAAATTATCAAAGTTCAATATCTCAGTTTAAAAAAAAAATTAAAAAAACCTTGTTTCAGCATCTTTTTAGGACATTACATAAAATCAATATCATCTTCCATCATTACTGTTCTGTCAGACTTACTCTGGGTTGGGTTGGACTGGGTCGGTACAGCAGTCCCTGTTGTCCAATCTCGGTGTCCTGCTGGTTGAGGGAGGACACCAGGGCTTGTAGTCTTTCTATATACTGTATGGCGCTCCGCAAAATCTCAACCTTGGGCAGCCTTTGGTTGGGGTTCATCAAGGTGCTCCTCTTCAGAGCATCGAAGGCCTCGTTCACCTTCTTGAGACGTCTCTTCTCCCTCAGTGTGGCCGCTCTCCGACGGTCCATGGTCACGGTCTTCCTTTTACACAGCTTACAGGCCCAGGGTAGGCACTGACCCGGGCAGTGGGGCTCAGACTGAGGTGACAGGCTGGATGGAGAAGCTTTTTCCTCGGTACCTGCCACTCCGACGCCAACACCGCCAGGCAGACTCCCACACAAACCCATCATGGAGTTTCTGTCCTGGTAGCCACCTTGATCATATGCCCCAGGCAGGCGTGAGGGGAAGTAGCTGTCTCCTCCTTCAAAGAAGCGCTGGTCAGGGAAGAAGTAAGGGTTGGTCTCAAAGAGCTCCATGTTGGACTGTATGTTGTGGTTGTATGGAGATGGAGGGAAATCCTTGCGTCGTTTGGAACTGCTCTTCTGAAGGCGGCTTTCAATCCTGTCTCTGAGGCGTGTGTTAGCGTGCACGTTTGTGTGCCTGTCCTCCTCCTGGCCAGTTAGCAGTGAGTGGAAGACGTGTGGAGAACAACTGGTGTGGAGCAACTGTAGGCTGGCATTTAAACCCCTCAGCCTTCTGCAGGATCACAGGGTTAAATTTAGCACGAGCCCTAAGAAACCTGACACGACGTTTAGCTGTTGCTGCACATCTACGCTTCACATCTCTGTTGGGCCATGCTCTCTAGGGCTTTATGGCCCATTCATGTGTTTATGTGCCCTTCTGTGGGTTTGTGTGCTTGTGTCTGTCTTAAGAAGCCAGGACCTGATCAGGTTGCTGCCGAATTGGAAGATATAGCGTCAGATCAAAGATGTCCGTTCTAAATGAGCTAATCCCTGGCTTGTGTACTCCTTCATGACACTGCACATACTCTGCCATGGGGGGTGGGGGAGGCAGTGTAGTGGTTTTGAGGCAGCTGTCACCTCTATTAGGAACCAATAATATGTAGTGTCAAGAAGATGTTTGAGTCCGTAGCTTGTATGCTTAAAACTATCACTAAAGGCAATGCCAGATTCAAAACAATTATCAGAATGAAAGGTAAGTGTGGAAAATCAAAGCGGACATCAACGCTGGTGCCAACATTCTTGAGTATTGCGTCTGCATTCATATACCCTTACATTCCTTCCAACATGATTGCACTGTGTGATGCAAGTAGCCATCTGAGCCTCACCCCTAGCTGAACCAGGCAGGCCTGTACAGGCATGTTCAGCACAACGCTATGCGGACTCTGGCTCGCGTTAGTCACAGAAATCAAGGGAGAGCAGCGACACAACTATCTAGACTGTCCTGGCCTCCTCCAGACAGCTAGCTACCAACGGGTGTTAATCCCTCCAGGACATGTCTCGCCTCATTGCTCACCAGCTAATTCTGACTGCCTTCCGCTAACATAAAAGTGTGGCTAAAACATACACTTCTGTCAACGGAGAAGTAGCATGGAACAATTGGCACGGTTTGAGAAGTGTTCCACTTTTTTGTGTCCTATATCACTGTACATCTATCACAGCCCTATGGAGGAAATATTTGCTGGCAGTAGAATCTCTATCTTTTGAGGCCACACACAGTGTTTAAACTCTGTCTTGAGTGGTGCATAAATCAAAGATAAAAATACAAGTAAAGCCACATAGCCTTTAATAGAAAGTCTTTTAATTTCTAAAAGACAGAATGAGGTAAAAGTTAACCCATGAAACTCTTACAAAGGGTTATTTTTACAACAGACAGAAAGATTAATTCAAGCATCAAGATAAAAACTAACAAATTTATAATCTTATTGTTAATGACTGTAATACATCCAACCCCACTTTATCCTGCTCAGGGTCACAGTGGGGCCGAAGCCGGACTCAGTTGTCAGTGAGTTAGAGGTCGAGCAGACCCCAAACTGATTCTCAGTCTGTTACTGGATCAACTCAGAGAGATGAGTCAAACAATATCCTCACGCTTAACATGCATGCTTTTGGAGGGGAATAAAATAATACACAGGTACGTTCTGGAGATGCTAACTTCACACAAGAGGTACTGAAACACTGTTAGTCAAACTAACCTTTTGCCATGAGGCTCGCTTTTTTGAAAGTCATAAACTTTGAGTTTTTCTGACTACAGAAAAAGTTCAGCATACAGTTTGTAATCTGCACACATTTTAAAAGCAATTTTTCAAAAGTGAGTTAGGCTAAATGTCACCTGTAACCAGAGTTTTATTAATACTCAGAGATTTATATAGGGTCTGAAGAAGCAAGTATAGTTTTTGACATGGCATTTCCAAAGGCAAACCTTGCTTATTTCAGCAAGTTAAGACCAAACAGGATGGTAATCAAACAGTCTGGTTGCACATTAGGCCTGCCTGCTGACCTGACCTTGAAAACATTTGACACACCATGAAAAAAACAGATCCCAAAGGACACCTTAAACTGGTGTGCACCTTAAATCCTCTATCAACAAAACATGAATAAGTATTCTACATTTAAAACTACAGTCAATTTGTCCCAGTCACATTCCAAAAAAAATAAAATAAAGATTGATGTAAGAAAGTGACAAAAGTGTTATAGTTGCTTGTAATTATTTTGTTGCTGGAATAGCATTTTAAATGTGTGCGTATTTTTGTTATCTTAGCATGCCCGTTGAAATATGTTGCTTTCATAGATTTGAACAGAGCTCCTGTGTTGATTCCTATTTGATTCAGGTTTTACATAATAAACCAACTTATTAAATATAAAAATATATTTAAAAAAACGAGGTGGATCACACATCTTTTCATTCAAATCTTTCTGCCTGACTGTCATTGTTTGTTTTTGTTCTAAGCGTAAGTTCAACCCCTTACTTAGGAATGTTGTTTATGCTTGAATGATTGTTTGTTTTAAGAACAAAATTTAAATGCTTTTTAATATATATATTTAAAGACAAATTTTCTAAAGTTTTTGAAATTTCAAAACTTTATTGGGAAAAAGTGATGATTTTATACTATTTAGTGTTCTAGCTCCAGGGTCATTCAGGTTCAAGAGATTTGTGGGGCAGCTAAATAGAACCTATCTTTTAAATTCCTCTAATTAATCTTATTTAGGTTTTTTTTATTAATATTGTTTATATTAATTTGTAGCAAATTACAAAAGAGTGTGAAATAATTTGTCTCAGTTGTTGTAATGACAGAACTTTTCTGGATGGTTGCAGTCCAGTCTTGAGGGTTTGAGCCCAGATTTGAAGCCAAGTGTGCAGTTGGAGTTTGGCACGAGGCAACCGTGGACTGTCAGGTTAGTCTGTGATGGATCGTCACTGATGGTGGAGGGAGTACAAAGACCCCTGTGTTGGACTCAGGAGTACAGCAGGGAGGGGGGTCTGCAGTGTGTCAGAGTCACTCATAACCCTCCATCCTCTTAAGCCATTGTCAGCAGAACTGGAGAACTTGTGTGTGCGTGTGTGTGCATGTGTACGTGGCATCAGAGACACATTTGTTTGAGAAGTAGGTTCCTCTCAGCATTTTGAAGTGAGCACTTGAGGGGCAGCAGATAAGAAATCAAGTGTTACTGTAACTTATTTACAAATATGAACTATCTAAACTTTCAGTCAAATTAAAATGAGAACACATTGAATTTTTTTTTCTTAGGTCACAAGTGAGGRCATTAAAATAATTTTATTAGGCTTTAGATTCTAATAATTTCTCTCAACCTTTAAGGATAATTTTCAAGTTCAAAATCAAAGAGGCCAAATTATTTAGATGCAAGTGTGTGTGTGTGTGCGTCTCCTAAGGGATTGTGCTGTCACTGGCAGCACTCCTCCACTTCTCCTCAGTGACAAGCGGCAGCACATTGCAGGACAGCTGAGCCTGGGGGGGTAGTGGATGAGAGGGGAGGGGTTCAGGCCCCCCGACTTCAGGTTAGCTTCAAGATCATCCCTGACCTGAAGAACCGCCATCCGAGTGCTGTCGGAAAATCTCACGTATGAAAGATGAGAGTAACATAACAACGGAGGAAGAGTGTTAATCAAAGGTGGATGAAGTGGGACATCCGTGCAGCAGGATCATGTAACAGAGAGAGAATACATAAACAGATGATCTGATCTCATTTTAACATGGTTTGTTTCACATTTTGGGGGCCATTTAACTTCTTAGTTCTGAGAAATAAATCATGTAGCATGAAACTATTTTAAATAATTGTTTAAAGAAAGTTACTTGAGTTTCTTTTTAGAAATGTATTCCTAAAAAAAAGTCCTTTTGTAATAAAATCACCTGAAAAAATTACATTTGGACCATCTTTTTTATTATTATTATTTTGCACTTGCTCTTTGACAAATTCTACATTTTAAGGGTTCAGACAGTGTGTAAAAAAATTGAGATTTTCTACAACCACAAATATGGGACCAGTTTAAAAATATAAATTATCAGAAGGGACATTTTGAGTCCACTTGTTCTCCCAGAAGACAAATGGAGAAAATACTGCCTAAGTGCCAAAAGAGGCCATTTCAGTCTAGCTCTCACCATCCTCATACAAAAAATAATAATAACAAACAAACAAACAAACAAATAAATAAATAAATAAATAAATAAATAAATAAAAGGCAGAAATTTCGTAACGACTCTTTTGGAAAGGTGACTTTTGACACATCTGCTTGAAAGAATAATCAGATAAAAACACTTGTAATAAAATTAAATGAATGTTGGCTTCATGTTGTCAAGTAAAACAAAGCAAACATTTTAATTTAAATGGATTTTCCTCACTCTGCTGCTGTCTTTAGTCACTCTCATGTTTTGTGTAATTACTTCGATCAATAATGTGTTTTCTTTGACTCTGTTCCAGAAGAAAATATACCTGGACCAGTCCTCTGTGTTTGTCTGTGTCTCTTTCCTGTCCCCCCAAACCCAGCCTGGTTCTGCTGGAGGTTTCTTCCTGTTAAGGGGGAGTTTTTCCTCTCCCCTGCTGCCTGTGTGCTGCTCAGGATGGGAGACTGTGACGAAGTAAAGATTTGGTGCAGTCTGCTGGCTTCTTCTTTAGATTTATTGGTTTATTTTTGTTTTGTTTTTTTTGTACAGTGCCCTGAGACAACAATTGTTGTGATTGGTGCTACATAAATAAAACTGAATTGAATTGAACTGAGGTAACAACATATATGTTTAAATTCAGTTCATGGCCATTCCACCTCATAATTTGTCATGTAAAATCTCCAATTCACTGTGTTTTCACCAGCTACTGTCACTGCAGCCCAGTTGTACTGATCATCACTTTGAACTAGAAAGCCCCTTTAATGGGAATGTTCAGAATTCAAGATGGCAGCTACTCACCACAACTCAACAGTGAGTAAAAATCTTACTTTTTTAATTTAAATAGTATTTCTGTACAATTGATTTCACATTTAGCCAATCATGCATAGTTCTTTACAGTGTTTATAAGAGGATGTGTTAAATGCTGTTTCTATGCATGAAATACCAAGTAGAGCTCAGTTATTGTTTGTTAGCGGTGCTCAGTAAAGCGATAAGAAAAAGGTCATGACGTTTCATGTTTAGTTGAAGCTAAATACAAAACATCAAAGTTTATTACAACTGGCCCTTTGAGGGCCATCATAATCCTCCTGTGGCCTTACGTGAAAAGACATTTGTGTTCTACTTTTATTTGTTTATTCATGTGTCACATTTTACATTTGCTGACTACATTAGTACCCAGTTACATTAAAGTGCCTGTGACATGCTTWTCCTTCAGATACAAAAAGTCAAATAAACTTGGCATACCACACATTATTTTACCCATTTGGACACATAACTGACCTGTTTTCTTTTAAACTTGTGTAGTGGTCACCTTGAGTGAAATAATCAAGAAAAATGTCTTGTGACCACAGGCCTCAGATGGGCCCTTTAAAGAGACAGAAACCTATTCCAGTAAAACTGAATTTAGGCTACAACAGGTCACCTTAACTTGTAAAAGAGACATTCTCTTTTTCTTAATCAGATAATAAACAGAATAATCTTCTTTTTATTTGATTTATTTTTATCTTAACTAAGAATTATTACGCATTTTGTTAATCATGAAACAATGTTTATCAAGTTACAGGAGAAAAGAGGACAGATGTCTTTTATCCCTCAATGTAATTCAGCTATGTATGGGTTTTTCTGTGGAAATACCTTACTTAACTAAACTATTCCTCATGGTTTAAGTTTTGATGAAACACTGGTGTTTATTTGTCTGAATCATATTGCAAAATTTTTTGAGTTTGAACTAATCATTCTTTCAGTCATTATTTTTAAAGAGTTTTTGTTTTTGTTTCTGAACTACACAGATTACAATAATGTGTGTTTAAAGAGAAGTTGGCGCCTTGGCAACTACTAAACTAACATTTTTCTCTTATCTGTGTACTAACTTATTGACTGAGGGCAGAACCAAATACCTCTTCTTTAGTAACTAACAGTTTCTGCCTGATAGTCAGAAGGCGATGGACACCCTTCCACCCAAACAACTAACAGCTGGGTTCTCCAAACAAAGAACCAGAGCATGGGGCTGTGTTGGTTCTACCCTTATTGCCAACGGGGAACTTCATGGCCAAGCTCACACCACTCCTTGGTGTGACCCAAAACAAGAGCTTTAAGCTCACAAAGCAACTTTGTCTTAGCTTCCTGTGGGAAGCGGGTTTTTATTCTGAAGACCAAGACCCAGTGGGCATATCCGCCGTGGGTACGGGGTGGGACATGTCCCCGCCACTCCCCCCCACCACACACACACACACACACACACATACACACACTTTTTTCAGCTGAAGCAGAAAAATAGACCTTTAAAAAATGTGTCCCCCCCACTTTTAAGATGGTGATTACACCCTCTCCTGTGGCTAACGTGGATTAAGATGGCGCTGAAAGCCTGGACGATCCAAGCGAGTAAAGAACTGGGAAGTTGCCTTGCTCACAGTTCGACCTCCCTTACTGCCTGAATCATGACTCGACAGTCATTTCACAGGTAACGTTGGCTTTATTACTAAGTGTTGCAGGTCTGACGGACACCGAGAGAAGGATGCCTTGCCTCTGGTTTCCCACATTTTTTAAAGATAAAAGTTGGGAAAGCTAACATCTTACTTTCCTCCTGTCATTTAAACTACCTGCCTTGCCAACCTAAGTTAAGTGCCACAAATGTTTTGGTTTAAGCTTGTTTTACTGATTCTATTTTTAGTGCTGGATTGATAAATAACTGAGCTCGAAGTGTGCTTGTTGTTGATTCTAATCTTCTGATAGGAAATTAATTGTCACCAATAAGTGTACGGTAGTGATTTTGTTTGATTGTGTAAAGAAAGGATCGAATTTATTGATGGATCAATCAAAATTCACTGAGCTAGTCTCTCAGTGTTTTTTGCACGGAAGAGATACTTACCGAAAATAAGAGATCCTTGCTAAATAATTACCTTTTAACTTTGTTATAAGGAAGGTAAGGTCAAACCCTTARACTTGGCTTGGCAAAAGGGAAACAGGAGGTGACATCAAAGGGGAACTCCTTTAACAAAAAGAACTCACTGGTCTTTGTTCATTGAAACGTTATGATTTGAACTCTCACTTTTTTTTCTTTGTTTGTTTCTGTCTGATAACGACTCAAAATAATCTAAAACAGATTCCTCTCCAGAGTCTGGGCTGTTGAGCATTTTAGCTTAGCTCTGTTTTCATGCAGACGTTCCCCTTTGACATCACTTCCTGTTTCTTCACATGCAAATATCTCAACAACTGTTCATCTCAGCAGCATGAAAATTATTTAGTAATGTGTTCTCAGTGTTATCTTTCCAAAAATGCATTTGTATTATTACAAAAATTTTGATGTCACACTTTTGATGGCACTTTAAGATCATTGGAAAACACAAGATTTACAATCTAAAAGGATATTTGGTGCCTTTTTTGTGAATCTTTTCTTTTTGCCTCATTAACTTCTAGCTTTTTTAGTGTACTTCAAGCTGAACACTAAGAACTGAGTTATTTAATTATTTTTAAAAGAAAAAGAAGCAGAAAGTTATTGTCCAGCATTAAAACCAAACATTACGAAATCTCACATCTGAGCCCAGACTGCAAGGTGCGTAACTGTTCCAGAAAATACAGTATTATTCTGCTTGAAAGGTGCAGCAAAATTATGTACTTCTGGGAGAGGATATGGTCACCATAGTGACAGCAACAGATGCCCAAGTCTGTRGTCTCGGATACCGATTCTCCACTTTCGCCGTGATAACAGCACATCCATCACTGAACCCCTGAAATCAGATCCTCCTGATTGGAGTAATTTTAGGGCAGTTTCACGTCATCAGTGACAGATTACAAAATACTTAAATCAGTTCAATGAAAGTGAAACAAGTTAAATATTCTAAAGAAAAATAAATTGAGTCACGTGAACTAAACATCCTGCTGTGCCTTCACTGTTTCTGCTGTGTAATGAGCCTTACATAAGCTGCAGCGCTGAGCAATTTGACTGATGTCTGGAGGCGATGTGACACTACTACTGCCTGGCCAATCACCAGGAGAATACTTCCATTCATTACAGTTCAGAATGAAGTGCCCCACCTGTGTTTTCACAGGGCTCTGGAGGCCCGGAGAAAGCTTTCTAAGTCAAGAGGAGGCGCAGGGGTGAGGGGGGACAGTAGTTCTGCTGCCCAGCCACGCTGCTACTCACTGGGCCTTTTATCGCAGCGTAATCCCCTACAACAAACAGAATGGCCGGCATGTGCACATGCAGCTGTCGCAGTCTTAGTGCAAGTGGTGTCAAGTTAAATCAGAGGAATGGACTGAGGCCTCCGAGCCATCCGCTGCCCTTCCCTTCACTGGCATCCCGCTCCACACGAGGCACAGTATACCCACTTCCCACTGACATGCTTCACAACACAAAGTATGTTACTTATTCACTGTGAATAACCAGATTATTTACATCACATACTGTATATATTTTCCAGGACCTCTGGCTGGCATCGCATGCATGAAAACAAAGAGGACCAATGTGTTTGAGAGTTTTCATTTCACCTCAGTTTACTTTATTCATATGGTGCCAAGTCATAACAGAAGTCATCTCAGGGCACTGTACAAAAAGCCCAAACTCTATCAAATTACACTCAGTCCAGTTCAGTATAAAGCAGACCAAGATTCCAGAGTTGTAAAGTAACTAAGTACAAATACTTTGTTACTGTACTTAAGTAGAATTTTTGGCTATCTGTACTTTACTTCAGTAATTATTTTTCAGCCTACTTTTTACTTCTACTTCTTACATTTTCACACAATTATCTGTACTTTCTACTCCTTAAATTTAAAAAGGCCACAAGTAGAAAGTCTTTACTTTTATTTATTTTTGCATGATTTTATTCCAGCGTGTTATTGTAAAAAAAAAAAAAAAAAAAAAAAAAAA